AAACCGAGGCTTTGGAGCGAGGGAGAGCGGCAGGTGAGAGGGCTCCTGGCCCCGCACAGCGATGGACTGGCAACTGGTGGGGAAGGGAAGAACACCAACATTCCGCACACACATTTCTCCAGCAGTTGGGCAGAGCTCTCCTGCTCTTCTCCTGGCTGTGTTGCTAGGAGAGGAGCGCTCTGCCCTCCTCATGGCTATGAATAGCTCTCGCTTGTTTATCCAGCCCAGCTCCGCCTGCTGGTTACAACCACAGCCGGCACCACCTCACGGCATGACACCACCGGGAAACAATGCGCTGCCAGGGAACAGCCCCCTCCGGCTCGGGCCGCTTCGGGATACCTCTGCTGCAGCGCCCCGCAGCCGCCCTCCTCCTACCGCACTCCTCCGTGCATCCTCTGCCTCCAGCAGAACGGGACAAACCCCGCCCGACCGGGCAGTGTCACCCCCAGAGAGCAACAGGACCTGGAAATCAGGGCATCGGTTCGGAAATCTGGCTTGAAAACTCACACACACACACACACATGATCACTTCAGGGTCTTCTTCTGCTATTCCAGTGTCTGAGCCTTTCACGAGCTGCAGAAGTTACTCTTCCTTCTTAAGGGAAGGCTGATATTCTTGCATAAGCCCATGAACCGAAGACCAGGGACTTCAAGAAAAGTAACAGATGGCTTGAAAATTCGCAATAATGGGATTCCTGAGATTTTCTTGAGAATATTTTGTCTGAGGTCTGACCAGGAATGAAACATCTCTAGCAGTGATATAGGTGGTCTGTATTGAGAAGGGGAAATGGGGTTGGGCAAAAGACTGGAGCACGGCAAATTGTGACCACTTCAGGACATTTACTCCGAGGGAGAGAGGGACAGGCAGCAAACAGGAGCAGTCTACACATTATGAGACTGAATGTGTGTGCACAGGCCACCACAGAAAGCCATGCAAGCTCAGGGTAGCAGAGCCAACACAAAACTGTAGCTTTTGGAACAGCCTGGGCAATCAATGAGAAGAAAAGTGCTGGGCAAGGCAGAGCAGCATAGATCAGAAGAGATAAGGATGGTTGCTGCACAGGTAGAGGTGAACCACGTCTTCTTTTTCAGCACTGTGAGCTTCCACATGTACCTATTTGCTTGGACATCTCGTCTTTCTCCACCTGGAAATTTGGTTGGGATGAAATCTCAATACTGCATATGCTTATCCAGAATTTCCACATGCCCATCAGGCCTTTCAGATAGTTGGACTGCTGAACATCCAGAAATTCAGGATAGGCTGACTGCACACTGGGGAGTGTGAACTATATAGCATTCACACACTATGTCTAATGAATCCAAAAATTGTCAGACCTGCTGTGCAGAGGATCTGCATATGTACAGTTTGCCCAGCGTGCTCTGAAAGGTGTCTGTTCTACCCTGTACTCACAGAACAGCTACACGGTGCAGGTGTTTGTATTCCTACTTGGAAAACAGGACAAACACAGGGGATTTTTTACACATTCTTGATGTATTTGTAGAAGAGGGAACAGCTTCAGTGCAGCAGGCAAGGAAACTTAGTTATATTCCCTGTGTCTGGGGCTCAGACTCTTCTATCCCATGCTGTTTGTTTTACAGCAGTCACCTATACAGAGCTGAGGTTGGGGTCCTGTTATTTTTAAGACATTGTACATGCACACAGTGAAAAGGGGTTGTTTTTCCTGCTGCTCCACAAATCTTCCACCACGATCTAAACTTACAGAAACACAAGAAAGGGACATCACAATTCTTACTTGAGAGATGAGCCAAATAAAGGGAAGCTCCTAGTCTCCTAGAGCAGGACCCAGGTGAAGTTTAGACACCTGAGTGCAAAATGTGATCCTGTAAATCCTTGTTTAGCTCATTCCATGGGCTGGGGATGCCCAGACCCCTCACACCCACCAGGTTTGAGAATGAAGCCCCATGGCTCTGCTCTGCACCTACCTGGGAAAGGCTCCCACCTGACAAGGCTAGGCACAACAGCAGCAGTAGGAGAGGCCAGACATGAAATTCCTCTTGCCTAGGGGAGCAAAACTCCAGGATGGGCTCTCTGTGAGCCCCCAGAAAGGATGACCCTTCTTTTTAAGGTGCAGTGTCCAAACAGGTTAAAGCCCCCATGGAGGATATATGGAAGACCCAGCCTGCACTTCCTTCTCTCCCACAGGGCTTTCCAGTCTGAATGTCCCATGGATGTGCTCCAGCTCCCAAGGTGCTGGCTGTTTTGGAGAGGGCATTATGATTTTCCTAAAGGCCTTGTGGCTTCCCTGGGTGCACACACACACACCCGGGAGAGGAAGCATCTGCAGGAATCAGCAACCGGGCTGCTTGAGCTTTCAGCAGAGAGAAGGGGGAAGCCCATACTCCAGTCTGCCCTTGGGTGGCCACTTCTAACTTTTTACCTCATGTCTCTTTGACAAAAAAATTCATAAGCAGGAGCTGGGCAAAGGGACCCGCGTTTTCCTTCGTAAGTGGAGTGCCACGAGATCAATGAGATTAAACATGTGCTTACATGCTGTCCTGAATTGCGGCCATGAGGAGAGCAATGGGGAAGTAAACAGAAGGGAAACGTTATGGAAATGAAGGAAGAGGGAAAATCCATCCTGCCAAGAGCAGCAGCTCTCAGCAGTAACGAGAAGATATGGTCTCACCCAGAGCTGGCTAGGCATTAGGAAGTCCAGGGACTGGAATGGAAGACCAAGCCATCTTCATCAAAGTTGAAAAGCGACTGGAAAGAGTGAGATTTGGAGCAGTGGAGAAAGGCTATCCACTGGGGGCAGCCATTCCTAGACAAGGTAAGCTTAGCTTGTTTCACCCCATTAGCAGATACTTGAAACGATCAGGCTTCAACCTGTGACAAGACAGGGAGGCTTTTCTCTCTTTAAAGACCCCAAAACCTGGAGATGGATGTCGGGCTCTGCAGGACCCTGTGCACCAGCGGGCACAGCTGCTGCCCTGCGTCCCGTTGTGGAGACTGAGACATGAAGCTGGACATGATGACTACCCTGTCCAAAATCTGGCTTTGCTTCCATCAGGCGGAGCGTGGCAGTCATCCTCTCTGGGAGGACCTGCGGTGCCAGCTCCCAGCCTGTTTGGGAGGTTCACTGACACCGTGGCCAAAGCTTTGGTGTGAGTGCGCCCCACCAAGTCTCAAGTGCCTGACTGCAAGTGGTTGATTTGGCTTTCCTGCAGGTCAAACTCCAGACTCTGCGTTCTTCCACCTTTTTATATTCTTCACAGAGCCTCCAAACCCTTCACCCAGATCTCTTGGAGCTATCCTGCTCTTCCAGCTGGGAAATTTGTAGGTGTGTCTGATTTTCCAGCCTTCTCTCCTGGCTTTGCTCTTCCCCTTCTCCTCAGTCAACCTTAGTTGTAGTCTTCCTTCACCACTTGACCTCTATTTCTGTTTCCTGGGAAGAACCTCATTTGCATCTGTCCTAGTATCCAAGCTACAAATTAGACCTGGTTAAAATTTCTTTCAGCAAAACTGTGACTTGAATAAAACTTTCTTGAGTTTTGGGGGAATTGTAGGAGCTCTTGTTTTTGGGAAGTGGCTTTTCTGTTGAGCGCTGGAGTTCAAAAATGTGCATTCTCCCTTCTGTTACAGGTTTGGAAGATGACCTAGAGTAGGTCACATCATCTACCCAAATGTTTTACCACTTGTTTAGATAAAAATAGTTGTCTGGGTTAGTAAATATTCTTTGAGATCATTGGACAACAAAAGCTATCCAACTGGTGATTATTAAGATTATTATAATTACTTTTATTAAATGAAACCAGCTGATTCTTGTGCAACACTCTTCTGGGCTCCACAGACCTTTACTGTTGAGACTCGGAGGAAAAAAAAAAGAAAATCTTTTGTTATCCCTGGGCAGGGATGTGTTTTTTGAGATTTGAGTTCTGTGGTTTTGTTACGAAACTTATGACAGTCGGTCATGTGGTTTGCTTTCTGGGCCGGCTGAACCCTGCTGAACCCGTACGCGAGGCAGCACAGTTTAATGATTCACAGGGGCTATGTTTTGGTTTGGCTGTTGCTGAACGGAGGCTGTGCAAACCTGCATGGCCAGGGAACCCTCTCGGCTGAAGTCACTGAAAAAACTTGGCTCAAATCTCCGTAAGCCTGGACCCAACATGGCCCCGCCATTGGGCCAGGCCCTCTTTGGATGTCTTGGGTTCTAAGAGCTGGCCATGCCTTGTGGCACCTCGACTTTTTCACTGGAGAACTGGGTTCTCCCTCTTTTTACAGTAATGGGTGGCTGCAAAAATTTTTGGGAGTCCACGAGGGCTTGGTTTTTTGTGATTTTTTTTTTTTCCCCTCGCCTTTTCCCCTTGCCTCCCACCACCTCGGTTTTGCGGGACGCAATTGACCCCGAGGCTCTCTCTTGGCGTTGGGTCTCCGCCGTTCGGCGTGCCCGGTTATTTGCACGACCTTGGAAGGGAGGAAGCGGGGCGAATTCCCGGCCGGCTCCTCGGGGAGCCGGAGCACCGGGAGCCATGGTTGGTGGCGGCGCTGGCGAGGGTGGGACGCGGCGGACCCGTGCTCTTTACTCGGCGTGTTTAGCGTTGCCTTTCCAGCCGGAGGGAGCCCGGAATGCCCCGATCCCTCCCGGCCAGGGGGAAAGCGGCCGCCTGCCATGTTCGCGGGGAGGCGGCGGGCGCCCTTCTGCCTGCCCCGCGCCTGTCACCGGAGTTGGAGTTCGCATGGAGGAGGCCGGCGGAGGAGGAGGGAGGCGGGAGGCGGGAGGAGGAGGAGGAGGAGGAGGAGGGAGGGGGCCGCCTTGTTTGTGGCTTGTCAGCAGCCGCTGGAGAACAGCCTCCATGTGTGAAAGCCGCTTGGCATGAATGCCTGGGCCGTACCAAGCGCCGCGGCGCCCGCGGGGGGAGGCGGCCCCGCCGCCCCGCCGCCCCGCGCAGACAAAAGGCCCGGCACGGCTTCCCCGTGAGTTGCCCCGATGCTGCCGTAGCGCCCGCCCGGCACAGCAGCGCCCGCTCCCCGCCGCCCCCGCCATGCCGCCCCGCGCCCTGGCCGCCTGAGACAGGTAAGCGCCGGCCGCGGGCTCCGAGCCGGCGCCGCCGCCCCCGGGGCCGCTCCCCGCCCGCCGCCGCCGCCGCTCCCCCGGCCGCGTGTGCCGCAGGCAGCCCCGGGCCGCTGCCCGCCGCCCCCGGCTCGGCGGAGGAAAGTTTTGCGGCGGCCGTGGCCGGGGCGCCGTGCCTCAGTTTCCTCCCCGTCTCGGTTCTTCCCCGCCGGTGGGGCGAGGGGAGGGACCGCGCCGGCCGGGGGGGATCCCGGGACCGGGCGCGGAAGGGACAAAAAGCGCCTTCCACCTGTTGGCTTCTGTCCCGGCGGCTTTTGTGGGGGTGGCGGGCCGGGGGGAGAGCCCGGGGCGGCCGCCGGCCCCGCTGCCCCGCGCCGGGGAGAAGCCCCGCGGGGGAGGGTGGAAAGCCGGGGTCTTTTGTCAGCCGTCCATCCCGCTGCCTCCGGAGGCAGGCAGATCGCCGCGGGGATGGGAGATGTTTTTTCCCCCTCCTGGATGTCGGGAGATTAGATGAGATGTATTTACAGTTGCCGTTTATCAGCAAGTAAATATCGAGCTCGGCGTGAGAGCAGCAATGCGAAGGCTGTTTGCTTGCTCTCTTGCCGGAGGTTTTGTAGCTGTTATCCTACTGTTGGTGAGGTGATAATGTGCAAGAGCCAAAAAAAAAAAAAAAAAACCCAAAAAAAAACAACCAAAAAAAACCAAAAAACGAAGGGGAGAGAATCCCTGCTCCTCACACCCGGGCTTCTCGCAGTATCGGTACTGGCTTTGGTTAAATTTGGAGGGCTATTTTTTTTCCTTGTGGCATAACACACAGAAAGCCTCCTGAAATGCTAGGTGCATCCTCACGAGGTCTTTTAAGTTTGTCGTGTGCCATTATTCAGGTTTCATTGATTCTAGTTATTTTGTTAAAAAATAACCTACAAGATCCTGAGCTGCACGAATGTTCGTCATCCTAATGTCCTGGCACAACCTATGCGAGGCAGGAGCTGGAAGAGGGGGAGAGAGTGAGGATATGTGCTTTCCCAGTCGAGGCTGGGAGGAGAGCATCATGTGTTGAAGAATATGAGCAGGAATGGGAGATGGGGGAGGGAGTCTAAATTGTCCTGAGACCCTATTCAATCCAGCAAGGAAGATGGAGGATCTTGCTGCTGCAAAAAAATGCACGGCAGAAATCTCAGCCAGCTTCTCTCTGACTTGTTACCTCCCTTCAATAAATAAATAAATAAACAGAAAAAGAATCAAAGCAAAACCCTGTGATTTGCTGTAACGTTTTCCATGATAGCTTTATCCCACATGCCTTACAGTCAGTCCAGTGATGGAGGTATGTGAGAAGCAGGGAGAGAGACTCTGAGGTTTATCGTCACAGGAGGGGGAGAAGTATCAGATCATGTTTGAAAGGAGACTTGTCAGGCAATGAGGAAGGGAGGAAAAATGCCTGTTCTAGGCAGCTGGACCTGGGGAGAAGGAGGTGCCTCCAGCACCTATGGTTCTGAAGCTGGGTGGAAAATCTGTGGAGAGGGGATGTCAACAGATGGGGGAGTGGGGAGGAAGCATGTCTGAGGAAGACCTTGGACCGTCTCCTTGGAGGGCTTTTAAAGAGGGGAAATTTTGAACTGCATCAGGGCACGAGCAAGGTTAAAGCACAGCTAAGCTAAGTGTGATGTAGCAGGACTTTCCAGTATGGAAGGCTGAGGTTGAGACAGAGGTTGAGTTTTCTGACTTGGCAGAGTTTGGGGCATCTGGTGAGGGGAAGAGATTTTTGTAGCTGGAGTGGTTGTGACTTGGGCAAGAATCGCATTTGAGAGAATGAGGAGAGAGCCTGTGCCTTGCCTTTTTCCATAGGTGGCTTCTCTGGTAGAGGGGCCTTCTGTTAAAATATCTTTGTAAATTTCTGTTAGTTTTGCTGGAATGTGACTATAGCAAGGAGAAAGTCATATGTCCCTTGTGAAAAGAAGTGTGGGGAAGAAATAAACTTTTATTGCTTTATCGATGTTTCCATGCACCCAGCACATCCACATGCATGGAAACAGCAAGTTTGTGCAAACACACCTGCCTGTGTCGCACATCCTTCCTCTTGAGGGGCAATGTGCATGTGTTGTGAGCGTGGTTCCTGCACAGACATGGCCCAACTCTTGTGTTTTCCTCAGTTTACAGGATAGCTTATTCCCTCAGCCTGGTAGCAGTAGTACATGACAGCCGACTTTGCGATAGCACCAACTGCATGTGAGGTGGCTGAGACTTAAAACCAGTGTGTGACATGCTTTAGCTTTTCCATTCATGGCAGCATTCCCATGATGGAGCAGGGATGTACCGCAGGCGTCTTGCATGCACAAATAAAATGTTACTCACGTGCAGAGGACAGGTCTCAGGTCAGATGCACCCCAAGTCACTCTCTTTGGGAAGAAGCTGAAGCAGCACCAGCTCGTTGCAGGGAGAGCTCGCAGGCTGCTCCCACACACGCAGATCACACGTGTGCACGCTCCACCTTTCCTCTCCAGGATCACCTGTTTGAATTCCAGCTGGTCTAGCAGCAGAGGGAAGTTTTGCACCCTCCTGGATGGCGATTTGATGGCCTTTCTGTTCCAGCTTGGCGCTGGTCGGACTTGAGCCACAAAAGCTTAACAACAGGGAACACTAATGAGCCCCTGCTTGGCATGCTGAGAAGAAAGACTAAGGGCTGAGTGGGCATAAAAACAGTGGCATGGAGCCCCTTGGCCAGAGTCTGAGCCTCGGCATGAAGGCTGGGGAGGGAGCAGAGTCTCTGGCCTCGGGAACAAGACGGCAGTGCTGCAGCAAAGGCAGGAGAGGAGACCATGTTGGGGGGAGGAGAGCAGGCTGCTGTTTCCACATCATCTGAAAACTCAACCTGCTGTCAGGACAGAAGGAAGGCTTGTGCATATTTTATGTCACTTTTCTCCTTCTAGGACAAGCTGCTGATCTGATCAGCTATGCACTTTAAAATCCTTGACGCGCCAATCAGCAAGTATGACTCGAGGCCAATAACCAGCCTTGGCCTCCTGCCTTTGCTCCTTTGTGGACATCCCATGCCGCCCTTCCCCGGAGAACGTGTGCACAATTAAACCCTGCACGGCGTTCCTCAACTACGGCATGGGATGTGACAAGCTGCGTGGAGACGGGGACAGAAAATGGCAACGTGTCAGGGCTGGGGGGGGTGGAGGCGGGGAGGGGAGCTGGCCATTTCTTATGCTGTTTGCTGATGTCTAGAAGGAGACTAAATGGGCAGATCGGTTTTCCTTTGAACTGGTGGTGTGCCGTTCCAGTCAGCTGCTCTTGCTTCAGAGAGGTAGCTCACGAGTTGGTGGGGCTGGCAATAAACCAAATGTAATTTCACTCCTTGAGCCTGAATTTTGTTGGGGGCTGTCAGACAAGAGATTTCTCCTCAGCAGTTAGTTATTCAGTGCTGCATCTGCATGGCAGAGCCACTTGAGCCACTGACATTGCTCCTGCACCAGTGGTGCTCCCTGCCCCATGCCGAAGGGTTCAGGCAGCCCAGGCACCATAGTTTTGACAACAGTCTCTCACACACAGACATGTAACTCCTGTGTCCCCTAAGCCAACTCACTGCCCTAAAGATCATTTTGGGACACGTGGGGAAGCGAATATTTTTTCTGTGTGATGCAGCGTTGTGACCCTAACAGAGTTAGCATCAGCCCTGCTTTATCCTTCACTTCTCCCATGTGAGAAATGGCCATTGGATGCGGAGGTCTGATGGAACTTGAGATCCTGGCACTGATCTGATGGGCAGCCTTGGGCAAATTGCCTTAAAGCTGTCGTGGAGCTTCCTACTGCAATCTGTGAGCTGGGGTAATGCTTGCCCAGCACCCCAAAGGGTTGTGTGTGCCTGTGCAGCCACCACGGCGGGCTCGCACACCAGCCCATGGACAAAGAGTGTGGTTTTGCACCGAGCGTGACTTATGCGATGATAAATTCTACTCGAAGTATGCACACACTCGGCGCTCTGTTGGACAGTGAATTCTGTTTTGTCCTTCCAGCAGAAAACGGTGCAACTTGCCAGTGACATGGACTGGACATGTATTCCCATAACAACAATATTATAAACATATGGTAAACCTGGTGTAACAACTGCTGCCCGTGTCTCCACGCAAACAAGGAGCCGGTTAACAAAATCTTGAGGCTGTCTGAGGCTGTATCTCCCCAGACTGTGATCTCATCAGCTTTCCCAAGCTAACCTCAACCTGGTCACTGCTTGGATTGTAAACTTGGGATGGGTGGGGGGGTGAGAGCAGTTAGCAGGAATGGCTATTGGTGATTCAGTCCACTTCCCTGTGACTCAGAACTGAACCATCCCTCGGTAGGATATTTGGGGATAGTACTCTTCAGATGTTGAACATCGGTCTAGTTCTTAGAAGTTCTGCAGTACCCAGGCTTGCTTGCTTGCTTACAGCTGGGTTTTTCTCAGCATCTTTTGTGAAAACAAAACCCTAAAAACTACTTCTGACTATTAAAGACGCCATGGTAATTTTTGCCAAAAGAAGAAGGGGGAGTGGTCTTAGCCCTGGGCACTTTGCCAGATTTGAGCTCAGGAAATTGCAGTCTATCTAGGTAAAACTCCCTATAGTTTAAATGAAAAAAAGTATTCATCTCTTACTGTCTTAAAGGGTAAGCACTGTGTTCTCTGGAGCCTTAAACAGACAGTACATTCTGGCTGGAGAGGTGGTTACAGTTGCTTGCTGGGAGAAGAGTTTTTTATGCAAAAACTGGGGCCTTTTTTGCATTTTTGGGATGCTTCTAATTGCAAAATGCTGTATACATTTTGGGTTATTGCAAAGCTTGAATGAATATGTGGCTCAACATACAAATGCAAGGAAATATGCTGGTGTGGTGTTTGCACAGGGAGCAGGCGCAGCCAGCAAATACACATCTTTTCTGTGGCAGAAAAATAAGGACCAGTTTTTCAGTCTTGCGCGTGTGCATCTGGGGGCTGGATTTTGTATGTTTAGCAGCAATTGCTTTTGTAA